GTGACTAGGAACCTATCCAGCTTACAACATATAATGTCTGCTTGCATATTGGGCCAAGTACATTGTGAATTTTGCAAGGGAAGATCCCTTAGCAAGCTATCCAAAATGAAATCATTGAAATTTTTCATACTTCTAGTAACTTCGGAAGTTCCCGATCCTTTTCAGAACAAAAGCATATCATATTGAAATCCCCAGCTAGACATCATGCACCCTCACATAGTATACTTACACCATAAAGTTCCTCCTACTATCCTTCCCTCTCTCTCTCTATAAGATGTAGGGCCATAAACATTAGTCAGCCACCATTCAAAACCATCATTTTTTACTCTAAATTTCAATGTCAACATAAAAATACCCTCTTTTCCTCAAAAAACTCTACCTGACTCGCTCCCAAACTATCAAAGTGCCAACAGAAAGGGTGAAAACCCAATCCTTATTCCTCGACCCCCAAATACTTCTCATCCAACCGAAGTGTCAAATTATTATTAAATGCATACTTTGCACAGATTGCTTAACCAAAAAAACGCTTCAATAGATTTAACAAATGCCCCAACCCTCCCCAAAACAAACATAAGCCATTAGCTTGTTAATAAGCCATGTTATGATTATTTAAAGTGAAGAGAAAAAAGATCCCTGGTCCAAGAACAGCTCATCATAGAAAAATATCACAATGCATACAAATCCCATGATTTAGAAGACTGGAAGCTAACTTTAATGAGCTTCGACCTACATATCAGGATACTAAATTAAAAGACAAATTTAAGACATACTTAAAACAACAGTAAATAACAAAAATCCTCAACATCTAGCTTTTTCCTCAGCAACAACATTGAACCAGACCCAACTATTTTCTCAAAAAAGTTTCAAATAGCAGTAGCTAGATATCAACGTTTAGACAAAATGGAGAAATCGCAAAAGAGAAAAAAACAAAAGAAAAGGCGCAAGAGGACAGGACTATTTACTTGCAGAGCTTCAAAAAGCTTTTGGTGGTTAAGGGGCACCGGTCCGTGTGCAGATCCACAACGATATCCCCCAAGCTCGTCACAATGAGAACTGACATTTTCCAACCAGTTTTTCTAACGCAGTGGTCGAAATTCGAGAATCGATATGGAAATGGGAGGGACACCTTGAAGCTTACAGCTCGTGAACTCCTCCTTTCCCTTTAAGGTTGATTATGCTAGTCTCAGTGTTGCTGCAAGTCTGCAACACTGTAAATATCACGATCCATTAATCACTCAAACACGTGAAATAGTGGAAAAGCCTCAACCCGCAATTCCTCTCTCTACCGAATCGATTGCCGGCTGTTGGTTCATTTAAAACATTGGAATAAGAAGGAAATTTTAATAGAAGCCTCCTTGTTTGTTTAATCCTTCTACAGACTTAAAGAAGACTGACCTAATCGACTTTGCCTCTGCAACTGAACTGCCCTCCTCCGGTCTCAGAATCAGACACGCTTAACCGCGGAAGCCGAGTTGTTTTACTGGAGTGGAACTTAGGTCGGGTCAACCCGAACTCAATTCTAACAAGGGTTAATTATTAAATATAGGGAAAATTCTCGATAGTGCCCTTACTCGAACTTTAAAATGCATCCGAACTTTCATTTTGTTTTGTGACAATCTAAATAGCTGACGTTAAGTTACTGTTAAGTATCATGGAAAAATAGACAAATTCCCCTTAAATTTTATTTTAATTTTCTTTATCAAATGAATCCCAAAACTTGTGCTTTCAAAATGAGCAATTTGAATGCACTTTTCAAAATTATCAATTATTTCACTGAGCCATGACAGAAATAAGAAAAACGCTTATTTACGACAAATAAAAAAGAAAAAATAAAAAATAATATCTCTTTTTCTGGGTACGAATCCCACAAAGGACTATAAAGGCGATGAACTGAACCAACACCCTTTTGAATGGGACGTTGGAGTAGCTTACAAAGTAAAGGAGATCAATAGGAATTGAAAAATAGGCTACAGCGATAAGGAAAATAATGTGGGTTAGCCAGGCCCAGCCCATTATGGGCTGGGAGGCCTAGCCCACTAACGGGTGATAGCGTCAGCCACACTAGGGGGGAAGCCCTGTTGCCGTCATACGGAGCCAATTGCAGGATGGTCAAACATACCCGCCACAGCCAGCCGCCTGACTTTGTACGGTCCTCATCTGGTGCGTTCATCTTCACCTACCTCTAGACTGCTCAAGTATAAATAAGAGGTAGCTCCCCCTTAATGGGGGTTGGAACATGAATTCTAACACAGCTCCCTTATTTACTTCCCGCACCTACCTTGTTTCCTTAGCATTTACTCTTGGAGACCCGGTGCACCCGAGGACTATCACCAAGACCTCGTCTCCACCCGAAGCCTTTGACACTCATTATTTTGCAGTACCTCGGATCTCCAGGAACCTCGCCACCGGAGTGATGACATACAATCCCCGGCTTCTACTGTCCTCGGAAGGAATACCTCGCCTCGGCTTACCTCTTATGAGGCCTCGAAGTCTTCAACCTATCCTCGAAACTTGGAGAGTGAATTTACCTCGTTGCCCCCGACTACTCCATGCGACAACAATTGGCGCCATTTGTGGGAAACGTTGCTAAGATGACCCCCCCCCCTTTTAGGATAAAGAACATACTTTTACTCCAAGCCCTCCTAAGCTTGAAAGCAATGGTGCAAAGTACTAGGAATAATCAAAACCTGGTCACCTATGAACAATTTCAGAAGGTCCTCGATCGTTTAGACCGCCTTACTCAACGTATGGAAGAAGTCTACCCCCGAGCAGGAGGTCCCTCTCGAGGCGACCACCCCGCTGGGGTGTCAGAGGATCAGGGTCGACACAAGCATGTCGAGCCACCAGTCCTCAGCTAGGGCAACAATTCATTGGCCGAGCCATCGGAGTCGAGCAACAACCATCCCCCCAATTCACCACAAAGGAACATCTGTCCTCCTAGCCAAAAGGAAAATGTGTCCGCTCAATCTAAAGACAGTCACCAGCCTTCGGAGTAACACCACCACTGTCGAAGGGAGGTCCCTCGGGATGATGGCGGGCATCTCGATCGCCTTGGAATTTGCTCCCAAGGTGAGAGCTGATGCCATGCCACTCCACCTCCCATCTCGAATCTCCAGGATGTACTAAATGATTGTCGTGCCCGTAGAGGAGCACGCGACCTAGTCTCGGAGTACTCGGGAGTCCGAGCTGACACCCATCGAGTTCGTGAAGATAGAAGTGGGGCCCATGCCCATGCTGACCCAAGGCTTGTCAAGTTGTGAGCTGAAGATCGGGGCCGTCAAGGGCGAGCTCCACTAGGTTAAGGGGAGCCAAGCCGACGCCTCAACCAGTCACAGCAACTCCGCTGGCCGCATGGACACATTCATCCCGAAAATCATTTCGGAGCCTCTCCCCCCACACTTCAAGGCTCCTACTTTGGAAATGTACAATGGCTCCTCAGACCCGGATGACCACCTGGAAAGTTTCTGAGCGCTCATGATACTCTATGGGTATTCCGATGCCTTGACGTGCAACACTTTCCAAGCCACCTTCAAGGGGCAACACGGTGCTGGTTCTCCAGCCTCCCCCGAGGTCGATTAGTTCTTGGGAGTAATTCGCGAATATGTTTCTCAGCAGGCAATGCCAAAAGAGCGTCGGCTCACTCATGTCCATCAAACATAAGCCAGGCGAAAGCCTGCTGCCTTACATCGACCGCTTTAATAAAGAAGAGCTCGAGGTCAGGGACCTCGACTCCATGGTGTCAATGCATGCCACCATCAACGGACTCTGAGCTAGCTCTGCCCTCAAGTGTTCGGTCGTCAAGACCACACCGAAGACGAAGCTAGAATTCCTGAAAAAGGCCCAAAAGTATATTGTGGCCGAGGAGGCTTCTGCCAGGGACCATCAGGACAAGGAAATCGAACATAACGGTGGGCCCTCTGGAAAGAAAAGGAAGAACGAGGATCGCCGTGCTGATGGCAGCATAGATAACAGGAAGTCGTCAGCCTCAGCCATGGCCTACAACCAATATACGCCACTCAACTTCACCTGGACCCAAATCCTGATGCAAATAGGCGAGGAGAAGTTTGTAAAGTGGCCAGAAAAGATGAAGAGAAGCCCCAAGAGGGGGAACCCTAAGAAGTACTGCAAGTTTCACTGTGGCATGGTCCACGATACCGAGGACTGTTACGAGTTAAAGAACAAGATAGAGTCCCTTATCCGCCGTGTACACCTGAAGCAGTACATCGGAGGCGAAGCCAGTGCTTTATCCTCCCACAACAGCAACAACAACAACACCAACACCAACAAGTCGCCAGAGTCATCGACGTCATCGTCAGGGGCTCGCCTTAGGGGGAGCCTTGGCCTCAGCCCGCAAGGCCCACGCCAAGCAGTTGAACATCCGAGGGCCAGCCCCCAAGAGGCCAAAGTAGCACGAGGACCTCTCCTTCACAGACGAGGACCTAAATGGGATCACGGTCCCCCATGATGATGCGTTGGTAATTTAGGCTATAGTGGCAAACTTCCTAGTTAAGAAGATTTTCGTCGATAGTGGCTCCTCGATACACATCCTCTTCTATGAAGCTTTTGAAAACATTATTAGACAGTGTATGCCCTTAGCTCCAATCAGAATGATGTATATTATGACATTTATTGTAAATGAATAAAGTACATATTTGATTCATATTATTATGGTGTGTTTCTGTGTAATACCCTTAAACTGGACACATATGAGACTCGTGTTAGTTTAGAATCTTCACAGCCGTTGGATAGATCTGGGAGATTTATCTTGCTAAGGCTGACACTGATATGCCACCAAGTTGGTTGGGGTGGCCTGTCTCAGCTGCCAGGGTGAGACCTAAGGTACATGTAGTGTGGGTTTTCTTGAAACCTTGAACCATACTAGAATTCCAGTATTGCCCTAGACCTTGGAGATAGATGGGCAAGACTGGAATGCTACACCTGACCCCTAGACTCGATTGTGATACTGCACTAGGTGTCGAATTGAGCTGTCTTTGATATGCCAATCAGTGAGATCCTTAAAGGGGGTCAAAACCTGGGTATGTTGGGACAGTCCGGGAATTCATCTGAGTGGGTGATCATAGTGAAAGGACCAGCCCTTTTGTTAGACAAAGTGAATGATCGGGGATGCACTCTCTCTGATGGAAACCTAAACTGTCGACAGTCGATTTCAACCATTGAAATTTGTTTTGCAAAATATATTTATATAGAGATATACATATATATTTTATGGATTCAAAATGTTTGCAAAAGGTTTTAATTCCCAGGATCCATGTGAGTAGAGAGTGCAACACTGTTCCTTGCAGCCGAGGGAGATTTCCTCTCTTGTCGGGTAGTGTTTGATCATTATGGGCTGAGAGGTTAAGTGTAAGACCATTGAGGGTAATGTCTGATGGGCTAATCTTGCATCTGCCCGCAGTCCTTGGGTTTTTATAAGGTGGCTTGACCCAATGACCATTTAGTGTAAATGTTGGGCTCATTAAGAGCCCATGGTGATGAACTAAGGGTTCACTATTTCTAACAGTGAATTCGGCCAGGCCTTGATACAGATGTTGGACTGAACCCATGCCATACAAGGAAAGCCAACTAGGCAATAAATTAGGAGGTTAAGTGAGCACATGGACTTAATGGGCCTAAAGCCCAATTCGAATTGGCTTAATAAGATTAATTAAAAAGAGGCGAATCTAAGATTTGGATCAACAGATAGGATAATGGATTATCCTTATCCACTCATAGAGTCCAAATCCAAAAAAAGATTTGGATTAGGAAACTCCTAATTTGATTAGGAAGGTTGATCTCTATCTATAGATAAAATAAGGAATTATCGTTATCTCTTAAAGAGAGTCCAGATCCAAATACAAGATTTTGATTAGGAAACTCCTAATAAGATTAGGAGATCCTCTCTTTAAAGGCTATAAATAGAGGAGCAGGGCCAACCTCTAGACACCAGACAACAGAACAAGAGTTCTCAGTTCACAAATCACAGAGAGAAAAATCTGCAGTTTGACTGCTCCTGTCTTTTGCTCTTGCCGCCCCTGTCATCTTCGGTGGAAGCAATCTTTGGATTTCTCCTTGAGCGTGAACACCTACATTGGGGGTGTACCATTACTCCGTATTAGGTATGTCCCTCTCCTTCCTTTGGCTTCATATCTGGTCTGGTTTGGCTTCAAAATTGACCATTGAAAATGCAGTTTTCTAAAATAGGGAATGCAATTCCCACTTAGGAGAGAGAGAAATTTTTGAAATTTCGCCCAACCTTACTGCAGGGTTCGAAAATCCATATGATGGATCTCTCATCCTTCAAAGATAAAGATAGAGCCAGAGTGCCTTCAGCCTACCGACGTCCCACTTGTCGGCTTCTCCGGCAATATTGTTAAGTTGAAAGGAAAGATCACCCTACTAGTCATGTTAGGAACCGAGCCTCAATATGTGACAAGGATGACGGAGTTCCTTGTCGTGAGGATTGGCTCCCCCTACAATGCAATCATGGGGAGGCCGATACTTC